TCTGTGTGCGTGTGTGTCTGTGTCTGTGTCGAAGTTGAGTGAGTGAGGTTGGGAGTGAGTGTGTCTCTAAATGACAATGACTGTGTTGGAGTTCATGTGACCAAGACAGATTGGTTCGCATAGACAGTCTGCTGGTTTCTGGATGATTCAAGGCGTTATCTTGCTGTGAAGATCCTAGGAAAGAGGAGCAGAAGGATGCCAAGGTCAAGGCGGAGAGCCAGGACCCCACCCCGGATGCGGATGATGACGACCAAGGCGAAAAGATGATTGATGTGGAGGCCATATCATCTCTTCGAGACTTCAAGTATGCGCTGCAGGTCTTGTTGCAGGAGCCGGCACGACAGCTGTCGGTGCGGCCCTTGACACTCATCTTCGACGAGTCAACCATTTATGGGCAAAGGGCTGCATGCCACGAAGCTTGGATGGTGACGAGTTCGGCTTCGACACTGTTGCCACGAAAAAACTTGTTCAAGCGTCTCATCGTGGACAAGATTCCGATGCTGCAGCGTGCTGTTGTTCGGCTGCATTTGTGCCGTTGCTGACTAAATGAAACTTCGTGTCATCGTCGGTGTTCTGAGGACATGGTGAAAGTGGAGGCCGGCCGCAAGATTTCGGCGGACACGGACCGCATGTCACGCACGCAGGAACTTGGTTGCAGTCCGTTTGTGTCGTTTGTGTGGTTTGCAAGGACAGCGATGGCTGCAATTCTATGTTTGTAGAGTATGCATATGACAGGAGCTCCGGCAGCACCTGGGTGGAACGGGGGTCATCAAGAAGATTTTGACGAGCCTTGAGATTGCCAAAAGCAAGACTGTGGTGGTCGACTTGTTCGGCCACGATGGTTGGGTTCCCCTTGCATGCTTGCAGCTGCACATCGAGAACTTGTCTATCGCATGCGGCACCGTTGCTCACTCGGATGTCGAGTACAAGTTCATCAAGGAAGGGATTGTTCCAGTTCAGTGTGTAGAGTTTAGTTAATTTTCTTGTTGAGGTATCATCCCGGATGAGATAGTCTGGAAGCTAGAGATTTGGAAAGGAGGTGCTCCTTCATGAGTTCTTCGACCGGGCCAAGACGAAGCAACTTACCATTGCAGGCTTCCCTGATTTCACTGCGGCCTTGACCGACTTGAGCAAGGTTCACACGGAGTCTGCCAGGTCTGACTACGACTACCTGGTGACTGTGCCTGTGGGTGCAAACCTCATCGTGCTTGAGGGTTTGATGTCCAAGTTCCAGAACTCGGCCTTTGCGGGTGAGTTTAATCAGGTCCTGAAGAAGCACGATGAGGAGTTCAACAAGGAGCACAAGAAGGCCAGCACGGCAGAGGCGCGGACCGAGCTGGAGAACGCTCGAAGGAAGCGCGAGGCCAACACGCCCAGGAAGCTCGAAAAGGCTTTCGATGACATGACGAAATTCCGTGAGGAACACAAGCAGTTTCTTGTTTGATTTGTAACGGACGACGGTCTGTGCCTCTTTCATGTGCTGGGGATTGAGTATCTTCTATGATGTGTTTGAGTTGCTTGGGATTGAACACATAAGGCTCATCGAAACCACGTGCGGCGACGTCACCCTGTACTACGATGCGGATGAGAACACATTGTGGGTCGGGTCGGACAAAATCTGTGCCATCCCTCCAAAGACGGAATGGCTGGGCTTCGGCTCAGGCAACTTTGTCGACGGGCCTACTGCTAAGGACGTGCTGTCCGATGCAAATGGCCGATGGTATCGCTACTCGTTGGCTGGACCCTTGTCTGATGTCATCGTGATCTTTGAAAGCGACAGAAAGCTTCCAGATGAACTCAAGTCCCTCTCCTTGTGGAACCAGGCTGTATGATTTGGGGAGTAAAAGCAGTGCCACAATTAGGAACACGTAGGAATGGTCATTCGAAGGTTTAGTTTGTGGGTGTCTCGTGGATTCTGCAATGGGTTCCAAGAAATTCGTAACAGAATGCAAACAATGAAGGCCGTGAGCTTGAAGGAGTTCCTCGTGGCCATGGAGGACAAAGGTGAGATCGTCACGTTTATGGGGCACACGAAGGATGGCGATCAGCTCAAGGTGAATGAAAACATCGTTTTCGTCATGGATGAGGTGAAATCAAGCCCGGCCAAGAAACGGCGAGTCTCGAAGGCAGGTGGGGTAGGATAGGGTAAGGGTAGTGTCGGAGATGCCCCCCAAACGGGGGTGGTTGTTCTGGGTGGGATAAGTTCAACATCAGCAGCATCACTGCCACCGTTTGGGAGGGAGGAGGTTATGGGTTGTCAACTTGTGGTGCAGAAGAAAAGGACCGATTTCCGGCCCCTCATTTCGGGCTTCAAGGGTCGATTCTCGGGTTGTGCTGTGATAGAATGATAGAAGGGGACCGATTTCCCGTCCCCCTTTTTTAGGGCTTCAAGGGTCCCGGGCATCACAACATCACGCCGAAAGTTTGGGAGCTGATGCTCATGATGCTCGTTTTGATTCCTGCAAGGAGGGGAGAGGGGAGGGGAGGGTAGGATTGGGTAGGGGTCGGGTCGGGTAGGGTCGGTAGGGTTTCCCACTTTATCCCCGATCTCGCTATTTAACTGAAAGTCAAATAGCCACAGCCGTACGGTTCATGAACTGCTCACATCTGTTGTGGCAGGTGAGGGCGCTGACTTTCGGTGCACACATGGATGCTGCAAAACTTCGCTCTGTTCGCTCCCCATTCAAGCTGACCTGGCGTGTGAGGCTCGCCACTGAGTTTGGTAACAGAGCCTGCTGTTCATAGCTCCGGTTTTGGGTTTGTGAAGCTGTGCACCCACCCTGCCAGGATGAACAACAACCGGCAGATCACTCCTGTGCGCCCTGTCTTGATCCACATGACTGAGCCGTCTGTCCAGCCAGGAGTTTTCCGAGCGCTCTGAGCGTTCTGGGCTCGCACGAGCCTGCAGTGGGATCAGCAAGCCGTCGGGGATAACCTGGGATGCTTGCCGTAGGGGTCAAGACTCCAGCAGGCTTAGTGTGGCAAGGGGAGAATGGTTTCTGAAATATCAGGTTCCAGGCTGAAGGATACTTGGGGTCATCTCATTACACAGTCAGCTGGCATTCTGCAAGTTGGTTTTATACTCTGAAGGAGTGTTATCTCGTAGACGGGCATTACTGGCATCGTGTAACAGTCCGTTCGACTTTGAATCCATTCTTTCACTTGTCTGCCTGCACGAGTCTTGCTCGGGTGCTGCACATGTAGGAACAAAGCCAAGGCCTATCGTCGTGCCAAGTGGCTTAAAGGAGTCATGGAATCCTGCTCCTCTTTCGTGCTCTGGGCCTTCATGTGCTGTTGGGAGCCGGTGTTGCAAGGTTGTGACTTGTATCAAGAACAGACTCTAGCATGCAATACATAGCACAAGGAGCCTAGGGCTTGACGAAACTTTTGCTGTGCAAGCGGCCAGTGACTCACGACAGTCATTGCGCACGGTGCTTGTCGTGACAAAGCCGAGGGACTCTGTCAGCCGCCGTAGATTCAGATCTCTCCTGTGCATTGTTGATGCAATGGCCGGTCTGCACTTGAGTTCATTTGAATTCGCTTGGAGCTTTTTGGGTTACAGGATAGAGCTGCTGACTGCAGCAGCCTGGGCCCCTTGGTTTTCCGAACATGGATGGGGCCAACACTGATACCTCCCCTTCCTTCAACTCACCTCCCTTTCAGTTGGAGACCTACGAGAACGACTTGTAGTCAATGAGTGCTGCCGCCAAGCAAGGGGAATCACAGACCCAGTCAGGATCTAAAGGCCTTCGGAAGCTTGACAGGTTCGAAGTGAAAGACAGCGACGACGAAGATGAGGATCTGGGTTCAGCTGATGAGAACCTAGAGGAGGACGACGAGGAAGAGGAAGAAGAAGAAGATGCTTCATCAAAGAAAAAACCAGCAAAAAAACATCCGAAAGCCAAAGGCAAGTCCAAGAAGAACAAGAAAAAACAAGAGAGTGACGAGCCGGATAAGAAGACGAACAAGCGAAAAAAAGATGATGATGACGACGATGAAGAATCCGATGATGAGGCGCGTGATGCTGTGCTCAGTTTATGCATTCGATGTGCTTGTAGACGTGACTCTACCATATTCAATTGCCGTGGCACTTTGATAGGTGCCGAAGAAAGGCAGAGGCCGAGGACGAAGCAAGAAGACTGAGTCCAAGCGGTCGAAGCGCACAGAGACGAAGAAGAAAGACTCCAAGAAAAAACACGACTCCAAGAAGAAGACTAAGAAAGGTGACAAGAAACGGTGCTGTGCCACCAGTGGCGGCAATGACCTCGAGTCGTTGCTGTCGCAAGCCCAGGACCGCTTGATGATGTGAATCTCAATTGAGCTGTTGAATGCTGAGTCCGGTTGCAACATGTTGTGGGCTAGGATGCGGAACGGCTCTTTGGCTCTGGATCGGCTGTGGTGTCGTCCGCAAGCGAGGACCCTTATTTATGCCTTAGGACTGACTGACCTAAGTGACCCTGCGACAACTCTGTATCTGTGTCCCACATCAGGACAGCTCCTCGTCATCGGCCGGCACAGGAACGGGTGCATCTCGGCAATCACGTACTTCATTACAAGCAATGCCTCGGGTGCTGGATAGGATCTTGAAGGGAGGATCTTTGGCTTAGGGCTAGGGTTAGTAGGTCGGGTTCCGTTTAGGGTTTCAGCGGGGCGGGTTGAAACCTGGAGCAAGCTTTGCTTGCGGAGAGCGGAACATGGTAGTATGATGATGGCTCGGATTGGGCTTTTATGGCTTCAGAAGCCTTCGGAACCCTCAAACCACCGAAACGACCGATAAAAGGGCTAAGGGCTGTTACAGCTTCAGGAGTTTGAGGGCTTGAGGGTGTCGGGCCAGGGTTCAGAATATGTGGGAAAGCCGAGATCCCGAGCCCTAAGCCCCAAAACCTTAAAGTCCTAATAGTCCAAAATAAACGCTTAAAGCTTCAAGCCCCAAAACCCAACGTCCTTAAAGACTTACTAAGCCCAAAATCTTAAGAATTTAAACCCTAAATTAAACCCAACTCCCTTAAATAGCTTGGTAAACCTTTCAGCTTCGAGACCGAAACGACTGTAAAGGGTTTTTTCAGCTTGAGGAGTTTGAGGGTGTCGGGCCAGGGTTCAGGATTTGCGGGAAAGCCGAGATCCCAAGTCCCGAGCCCCAAAACTTGAAGTTTTAAGCCCCGAAACCCAACGTCCTTACTAAGCACCAAATACCTAAATTTAAACCATAAAATTAAGCCCAAAGTGTGAGCTTCGAGACCGAAACCATGTACCTCCGAGAGCTGCTTAGGGCCATTGTTGTTTAGTTTGGTCGTCTGTATTTGGGAGGACAGCTAAGTTTCTTTGTGATCTTATGGGTGCTAATGGGGTATATATACCATGTTAACTACCTAGACCCAAAAATTATCCCGAGTACCTTCTTCTATTCCCCAAGAACCCCTAAAGAGCCGCAAACCCTCGCTACCCAGCCTCGCTACCCAGGAAGTTAATCATCCCAGCCCCATTCCCAAATATCCCTGTCCCTGCAACACTTCATCCCCACAAGGACATAATCAGCTTCAGAGGTAGTCAGCTGCACGCCCAGGAATCACAAGCAGCAGTCGATGTTGATGGTGTTTGCATCGCTCCAGCTGCAACGCCTGCCACCTGCTTGAATCGTGCGAGAGTTCCGGTGTGGGCTTCGTCGTTTTAGGTTGGATAGACATACATACATCCATCCATGCGTTCATGCATACGCACATGCTTGCGGAAAGCCGAAACTCATCTTCCTGTACTTAAACATGCACACATGTTATATCAAATTAAATGTGTTTTGCCAGATGTAGAACGCCACGGCAGGCCTTGCAAACTACTTGCTAACTACTTCCCAAACTGTCAATGCTGCATCAACTGAGGTGCTTCCCAGCGCTGGGGCAGAAGAAGCTGCTGTCTCTGCCTTTCTGACTTGAATGGGATCTACTTTGTATTCGGAAAGACTTGCTCGGGTTTCTTGGAAGGTCGGGGGCCTGAACCCAAGGGATGGTGATGTGTTTTGTTAGTTATTCGAAGGCAAACTCGTCTTGGCATGTGCTCTGTGGTGCATAGATGCTGCGCTTGTGTATGCCGGGCAGCATCTGTTTCGAAACCTCATGGGTAGCTGTTGAGCAAGGCCTGAAACCCTATATAAGCATTCTTGTCCATCTGTTCCCATCTCGTCCTTCTTTCTCCCTCTCTCTCACGCTCTCACTTCCTCTCTCCCTCTCTCTCCCTCTCGCTCTCTCTCTGTCTCTCTCTCTCTCTCTCTCTCTCTCTCCCTCTCCTCTCCCTGTCTGTCGCAGTTGTTTCTTCTCGCCAAACGTTTGTGAGTGTGTGTGTGTGTGTCTATATATATATGTATATATATATATATGTGTCAGCAACTCTGCGACAAAGACAGCTCCAGAGAACTACAGAAGGCTACTAGGTATCGTCGGATATGTGGCTCTGAGAACTACAAGAGGCTAGCTAGAGTCTATCGTTTTCTATCGTCGGATATGTGGCTCGGAGAGCCATAGGAGGCTACCATCCATCATTGTCTATCGTCGGGTATGAGGGTCTGAGAACTACAAGACTACGAGGCTAGCATCTATAGTCGTCTATCGTCTTTGTATTCTTCGGTTGTTGCTTGGCTACTATAGGCATGTTAGGCTTTCTGGCTCGGTTCCCCAATTCCAAAACCTCCCGAGGCTCCGGATATCGACCAGCTGCAGCCAGAGCTCAGTGTGTTGGCAGAAGCAGCCACCCTGCAAGAGGACTTTTTTTTTTAAGGCTTCGTGAAAATGGGTTTGTTGGGTCTGGAGCCCCAGAAGTCCGCAGCAATGCACCCTGGCTTAGATCTAAACCACCTGACCAGGTAGTCCGTGCACCAGCAAAGCTTGAGCAACCCATGCAGGGGGGAAACAGTTCATTTCGAGTATGCACATGTCGTACTGGGTATGAAACCATGGCTGTGTAACAGTGCTACATTGCCAGAGCGGGTTATCTTCCGATTTATAGGATTTTCTCACTCATGCCGACAAGCATCCGCAGGACATGGACCGCTGCTTGCCAGACGCAGCAGATGAACCAATGGAGCTTCCGGAGACCCTGCAGGAGAGCTACACATGTTGTCATGACAACATGGAATGGTTTTGTGTAGGGCTTGAAGAGTGAGTCTAAACTTTCGACGAACCGTCAGGATATGAGGTGTGTCATGAAGAATATTGGTTGTCTTTGTAACGACAAGCGATATCTGTCCAGGAGCCGACAATGGTCACCACTGATGCTGCGACTCCCAAGCTGCTTGCCACCCACAAACATGTTTGTTATTCAATCGGCACCGCTTGAGAACATGTTTCGGCTAATTCATGTTGTTGCTCTAGATGCCGTGTTCCATTTATGAAGCATCCGTCTACAAAATAAGGTCCGATGCAACAACCGTGCGGCTTGGTGATCACTTGCACAGCGCAGAGCGCAGTCCGCCACAGGACGCTGGGGCTTGTGCCGACTGAGCAGATAAAACCATATAGTCACTAGTCGAGAATCTGAAAACATTGAAATCCTTCCTGTACCTGCAAATAGATAGTTCCGGACTCCTACCGACAAGCGCCCGCAGGGCCGGGAAAACGTCGAGGGCGTCTTGGCAGATGCAACCGCTGAAGCAAAGGAGCTTCCAGGGACCCTGAAGGAGTGGAGCACGCATATCATAGTCTCGATCGAAAAGCATCTCTTTGTGATATCCTAGTGACCTAGTGATAAACACCCGCAGGACCACGAAGAGATCAAGGGCTTGTGCGCAGATGCACCCGCTGAACCAAAGAAGCTTTCCGAGACCCTGAAGGACCGAACAATCATAAAATAAGTTGATCGAGTGGCCTGGGGCATCTCCCACCTCATCGCAGTCCTGCCGAACCAAAGGGGCTTGCGGAATCCGTGAAGGAGCGAAGTTCTACTAGCAGCATCGAACAGTCGTGCCCGCAGGACCCCGAAGACATCAAGGGCTTCCTGGCAGATGCAACCGCTGAACCAAAGGAGCTTTCCGAGACCCTGAAGGACCGAATGATCATACACAAGTTGATGGAGTGGTGTCTCCTACCGACAAACACCGGCAGGACTGCGACGAGGTGGGAGATGCCGTAGCCGAACCAAAGGGGCTTGCCGAGTCCATGAAGGAGCGAAGTGATACTAGCATCGAATAGTCATTCATCCCCAACCGACAAGTGCCCGCAGGACCCCGCAGACATCAAGGGCTTGTGGGCAGATGCAACCGCAGAACCAGACGAGCTTCCAGAGACCCTGAAGGAGGGAGCTTCATGTCATGGACTTCATGGACTTATCGTGGAGCGAGTAGTATCTTCTACCGAGAAGCTGAAGCCAAGCAATGACATCAGAATCATCGCTTTGATCTAGTGCAGTGTCTGCGGCCTGCTGTCGTGAAAATGCAATCGTTGCTGCACCCGAGGTTAAAAAATCCAAAGACCTCAAAACCCCTGACCTGCTTGTTGATACTCTCAATCTTGCTCACACCAAAGAGCCTGTGCAGGAGGATCCAGCCGGTGACCGAATGGAGCTTCCGCCCACGCACACCCCGGAGGAGCGGACAAGTTGTGATTCGGGCTATAGCTTACCGGCGCAAGTATTGTAGCATTGTAGCTTGTCAGTGCCAATCGAGTCAAATTGTCGAGATGCTTGGAGCCCCAAAACAACCCATGCCCTTTAACATACATTGACCGGTCCTTCGTGATCTCATCAATGGGTCTAAGTCAGCAAGAGGGATCTCCTGGGATTCCGTGTGGTTCTGTTGCAGGGTCGTGGAGGCAGTTCATTTCCGACGATTTTCATTGATTTCATTGGGATGGAGTCCTTGATTTGTTCGAACTAGAATTAATCTCCAACCTCATGGGAAGTTTACTCCTTGGGATGTACGTAACCCGTACACGTGCTTCTTCGGGGCGCCTAGGTCTAGTCTTCCAATTCAATCGAATACCACTAATTCACGGTGAACCTGACACTGTCTTGTAGTCAGATTGTGGTGTGTATATACTGAGAAATGAATGCAGGGAATTCCAAGTCAAGAGAACGATGATGCTGTCCTTATGTGCTGTATAAAAAACATGACGATTAAGCCAATCTTGTGTGTATGGAGGCTGCAACAGTGCCAATGGATCTGGTTACACCTGAGTCGGAGATCAAGGTGACTTCGGCAGCATAGCCTACTTGATTCAGTTTTGTACCAACCTCTGAAAGGGTATCTGTTGGATCTACGAAGTGAGGTCTCTGCACCGTCCACGAAAAGACGTTTGAACTTTGAGGCTTGTGACGACACGCCTACACCCAAGAGAGCAGAGCGATCGCGGCAGCTTCATGAAGCACTGAACATCCAGATGCGAAGCCCAGTCCCAAGCGGGACTCTATCTTTGAGCAGCCCACTGCCAACACCTCCGCTTGCCAGCCCCAAGCTGGCTCAGCAAGCTACGAGAAAGCCTACGGCCGCGAAGTCCAAGACTACGAAAGGAGGTGGCAAGCGGGGACCGGGCCGGCCCAAGAAGAGCACTTCCCCGAAGGCCAAGGCCCAGCCGAAGAGTGCCAACAAGCGGTCCAAGAGCGCGAGCAAGCCGAAGCCGAGGAGCCCTAGCTTGCCGAAGAGTTCGAGCAAGCCGTCGAGCCCTACCAAGAGTGCCAACAAGCCGTCGAGCCCTACCAAGCCGAAGAGCCCCAAGAAGTCGTCGAGCCCTACCAAGCCGAAGAGTGCCAACAAGCCGTCGAGCCCTACCAAGCCGAAGAGTGCCAAGAAGCCGGCAAGCCCTACCTTGCGGAAGAGCCCCAACAAGTCGTCGAGCCCTACCTTGCCGAAGAGTGCCAACAAGCCGTCGAGCCCTACCTTGCCGAAGAGTGCCAACAAGACGAGCCCTACCTTGCCGAAGAGTGCCAACAAGACGAGCCCTACCAAGCCGAAGAGTGCGAAGAAGACGAGTCCTACCAAGCCGACGAGCTCGAAGAAGACCACCCCTACCAAGCCGAAGAGTGTGAAGAAGACGTGCCCGAAGGCCAAGGCCCAGCCCAAGCGCGTGGATGGCACCGGTCCCAGGGGCAAGCGTGGTGCACCCTTGAAGATGACTCGGGCATGTGTATACTCTCGGGGCTACCATGACAAGAGGAATACAGGTGGCAGCAAGAAGCAGGCCTGGGTTGTTTTTTTTTGTGCAAGACTTTCAAGGGATTTCGGCCTTTAAAATGCAGCTTAATGTGACCAAGCAATCCTATCTTAGCTCGTCGCCGCAGGCCAGGGCAGCCGGCCGTCGAGCTTGCAAGAAGTTCTTCGGATATTGAGCACTGTGGCGGTGCATTTTGCGACGCAACAGGACTGATCATGTTAGTCGTGAAATCAAGCATAACAAGAACCAAAGGTAACACGGATCCGGGTTTCACACAATAACATTAAGTCCTAGGCTCCCGATATGTTTTGAACCACGCTTACGAGAGAGAGAGAGAGAGAGAGAGAGAGAGAGAGAGAGAGAGAGTGAGATAAACAAATTAATAAGTGTTCACTGGGACGGTAGCCTTTACGAGGTTTTCGGGGTTAGGAGGACCATGACCTTTTGCTTGGAACCCTGCACTGTGTTCTAGACGAGGTATCTGTAATCGTATGCTCGCTGTGCTCTTAAGTTACGATCCAGCTTCGGATGTCTAAGGTATTGCTAGGGTGATAAGTCACCAAGACGGATTCCCCCAGGATCCTCATGCAGCTGGGCGTCACGGAGAAGTGCTGGCTCAATGCTGTGAAGCCATGGCATTCGATTTTAGAATGTAGGTTTCGGTCTTAGGCCTGGCGTGCTGCATGCTATCGCACAAGAGCCCCTTAGGCCCTATCAGGCATGACTTCAAGTAGGACTGCGATGCACTCGTCAGGCATGACTGCAATTAGGACTAGGAGATGTTGGATATGCCAATGCTCATGGACGACCGACAGAGAGCAGCGAACGTCTGCGCCGAAACAGGCCGTTGTGATCGACCCTGCATACCCTAAACCCCCTAAACCCTAAATGTTGAAACCCTAAATCCCTAAAGCCCTTGTTCAACCCTAAACTGTCATTCTCATGCCCGAATCATTTTGCTGAAATGCTGAGTTCCGGTTATGCTTGTCCAAGATTCCGGTTGTTGTGACCATCCCCTTAAACCCTAAACCTTAAACCCTAAACCTTAAACCCTGAACCTTAAACCTTAAACCTTAAACCCTGAACCTTAAACCTTAAACCTTAAGCCCTAGACCATAAATCCTAAACCCTAAACCTTAAAGCACTAAACCCTAAACCCCCCACCCCGCCCCACCCTACCTGCAATGAAAGAGTAGCAGCCTTCGAAGGCCAGGGCTGATGGTGTCGTGCTTGGCGGGTTCATGGTTCAGGATTTAGGGTTTCAGATTTGAGGGTTTAGGATTGAGGGTTTAGGGTTTAAGATTTCAGGGTCTAGGATTGAGGGTTTCGGGTTTAAGATGTTATGGGTGTAGAATTGAGGGTTTAGGGTCTAGAGGTTAGGTGGGTTTGCTGTTGATCTTCTACCGATCACGTTGCGGGGCTTAACGTAGACTCCTGGTTTCTATACGGTATGCACCCATCCCCCATATGCAATAGGGTGATAGTGGGGATCTTAAGATTGGGGCCTTCGAAGACAAGGGGTGTATTTCTCCAGGATCAGCATTCGAGTTCACAGGGACTGGGGCCTGGAGTATGGAGATGCGAGTGCAGAGATCACAAGCCCAGAACCCCAAACCCTACACTCTAAACGCCAAGCCTTAACTCAACAAAAATGAATCCTACCCGAGATGAATTAAGTTTAGGCTTTAAGAAACCCTAAGCCCTAAACCGTGGCAGGACCTCGTTCCGCAAAAGGAGCTTCGAGAAAGGATCGTCGAGTTCTGTACGAAACATGGTCCGGCCCCCACTGTGATTTCAATCGTTGAGGGTCCAGGATTTAGGAACAAGGGTTTCGAGTTTGGGGAACAGGTTTGAGGGCTTAGAGTCTCAAGAGCATGCCAAGGTCCTGCAACGATTGTAGTCTCCCGAGTCTCAGTTGCATGATCATTGCAATTCATACAAACTTTTAACTTCAGTCACTAGACCCAAGACCTAAAACCCAAACCCTAAACCCCAAACCCTAAACCCAAAGCGCCAGCCTCGAAACCCTACCTTAACCCCAAAGAACTACTTGTTTAAGGACTTTAAAGAAATCATACTAAGGAACCCTAAACAGCTGGGTTCTTTAGGGTCCAGGTAAACCCTCGCCACCCTGGCCCCCACAGTCTTGAACGATTTCGATGCGGAGACGCTGCCCAGGCATTGTCCTGGGCGGCGAGGCATGGACCCGTGACGGCTTCATGTCTAGACCTTAGGGGCATTTCGAGCTCGGTACTGTTGATGATAGCAATCCTGCATTACCTTAAGAGTTTGGGGTTTTAGGGTTTTGGGGTTAAGGGCTTAGGGTTTATAAGGTTTGAGGTTTCAGGGTTTTAGGGTTTAGGATTTGGGGTTCCTGCATTACCTTAAGGACCCTAAAGTATGGGGATTATGCTATATTCCTTATTATGGGTCATGCAGGGTTTTTATCATCAGCCGTAGTATGTTGTAGTATGTTCCTAGTCTCAGAAGGGAACCTTGAGGAAGACTATCTATAGATTAGCAATGTACATTTTTGTAAGTACAAAAAGGGAAGCCTAAGGACAAACAAAGTGATACACCGCCTTCGCTTCGTCAGGATTCCAGTAGGGATCCGAATGCTAAGGCCCTCGAAGAAGAGTGGTGTAATTGTCAGGGCTCTACATTTTTGCCATTAGATCACTAGAGCTTACCTGCAACCCGAATGACCTAGTTTTTGATGCTCCATACTATGAAAGCCTTGAAGGACGATCCTTCAAGAAGTGGGGTGTTCTTGGCTACAGGTGAGGTGTAGGGCTCAGGGCCAAAATTGTTCTATCAGTCGTAGCGTTTTTTTTTACCATAGTATCATATTCTGTTGCTGACAAGGATGAGGCCCGCGAGGCGTGCGAGATCCGGTGCAAACGCCGAACCTCTTTCAAGCCTGACGACCCAACGGCTGGTTTAGGGTTTAGGGTTAGGTTTAGGGTTTAGGGTTTCCTCCAAAAGCCATGCCGGTGCGTTCGTAGGTCCTGTAAGCCAAAAGGACGAGGTTCCAAACGTACCCGGATCAGAAGCCATAGACTTCCTACCCGAATGTACAAGCCGTGCGGGTAGTTTTTCTAAATTAGGGTCCCTTTCTAGATCCCCAACATAGTACGGCACCTTTATAAAAAAGGGCCTTAACGACCCTAATTTAGAGAACCATCCGTATTACAACTCCCAAGCCCCCTTCGGTCTTAAGTTACCTTTGTTGGCTCTGCTCTTGCTCCAGCTTAGTGAGGTTTTCCAGCCGGCAGCATGCTTCTTATATAGAGCCCTTATAGTACCCCTATAGAAACCCTATACTAAACCCCAAGCCCTTAACCCCTAAACCCCCAAACCCTCAAGCCTTATGGCACCCTAAACCCCTAAACCTAAACCCTTATAGTACCCCTATAGAAACCCTATAGAGTCCCTTTAAGGAGCCCGAAAAGAGACCCGGGTTTAGGGTCTGGGGATGAACTCTGCAAGTAGAGCCTGAAGCTGTGGGAACTGCAGCTCAAAACCCTAACGGGTTTAGGGTTCTGGGGTTTAGGGGTTTAGGGGTTTAGGGTTTAGGGTTCAGGGTTTAGGGTCCAGGGTTTAGGGTTTAGGGTTTAGGTAGTGGCCGTCGATGTGGCTTCCAATTGGCAGTTCATGCCGTTTTAGTCTGCAAGGTTACTCTAAGCCCTAAACACTAAACTTTAACCCCTAAGCCCTAAACCCTAAACTCCTGAACCCTAAACCCTTGAACCCTAAACCCTAAACCCCTAAACCCTTGAACCCTAAACCCTAAACCGAGATCCCAGGGTTTCCGTGCCCCAGCCGTCCCGAACCCCCCTCCCCTCCCTGATGCTCAGGATGAGCGAGGAGCAGAAGAAACTCGATCATACGAAGGTTGTCCGGCTTGGAGGTTGCAGAAAGGCATTCACTAAAAGGGAGCCGCGAGATTTCTGAAGGATTGGCGGTCTTAGGGTTTAGGGTTTAGGGAAGGATTGAGGGTATGCTTGGATACGAAAATGGGAACACGCCCTGAATTCTTGCATTTCGGGATTTAAGGAACCCTAAACCCTAAACCCTAAACCCACCCTTGTATTGGAGGGCCGAGCTCTTGCAGGGGCGAAGGCCCTGGAGGCAACGAATCTCCCACAACGAGATTGATTTTTTGAAGCACCAGGCTAAAGTAGGCTGATAACCCAGATAGCTATCCATCGGTAAAGATGAACATAAATAGTTGTTTAAATATCAAGAGAACAATACAAATCTAAGCATATATATATATAGATGTATACACACACACATATATATATATATGTATTTATATGTATTTACATACATATCCGTATAAATGTATACACACACTTATACTTATAGCCCCCATCAAAGCAGTACTTGTTCAAGTGTACTAATACTTCTGGGACCCTAAACCCTGGACTCTGAACCCTGCGGATTTCCTTCTAGGAGATTCTGGTTCCTACCGAACCTACTGTTGATGATAGAAATCCTGCATGACCTTAAGGACCCTAGGCTATGGGAATTATGGTATGTATATATATATATATATACATATACACATACATACATACATACATACATACATACACATACATACATATATATTCCTTGTTTTGGGTATCCTAAGCCCTAAACCCTAATTCCTAATTCCTGACTATGGGTACTGCAGGATTTCCATCATCAACCGTAGGAGCCCTCAAGGGTTTTGGGATGCTAAAAGGCGTATAAGGCAGAAGGGTTGAAGTTTCCCATTTTTTGGGGTGCCAGGGTCAAGTGGGTGGGTTGAGGATGGGGTTTAGGTCTTTAGCTTTTTTGGCCTAGATCCTAAACCCTAAGCCCTAAACCCCTAAATTCTGCACCTGTTCTTGGAGCAGTTTCCCCCAAAATGTTGGTTCTTGAGAGTTATGAGGTGAGTCCGGCTCAGAGTAGCCAATCTAGTGGCGATCGCTATATTTCCTAGGCTTCAACACGATCATTCGCCCCTTAGATGATGGACTAAGGAAGTCTCGGGTCACTGAACGGTTTAGGGTTTAGGGTT